TTGTATCGGCATAGTGAATGAAAAATGTATGTAATGATCCATTTGACTAGTTGTGAAATTTACAACCTCATCACAGCCTATGTAAATCACTTGCTGTTCTATGAAAGGATTACAAAAATAGACTTAAGCCTTCAGAATTGAGTATATTTTATTTGGTGTTTACCAACTGAAAGAAAACCTCTTAAACAATACCATAAACAACCTTGTTAATATTCAGTTTATCTTTAAGACCATTCACATCTAAATATTCTGGGAAATGATTTAAGTTATTGATTATCCAGAGGGAAAGTCTCTGTCATTTCTGAAACTTTCAGTACAACGCATGCCTGTTACGGTGTGATGATATCACCAATATAACCCTACCTGAACAGTTATCGCATATCAGCAAGAATAGTAAATCTTGTAAGAATCATCACAGGTAGTTGAAATGCAGCTATATTAGGTTGAAAATTATTATCGCCAGGCCAATATCTTCAGAAAGAAACTTGGGGAAATATTCAGGCAGTCACATAAAGATTCCCAAATGCGAATATAACTTGACTGTGCGTTCGACAAAGTGATCAGTGGGCGTCCACGTGCCATGTAAAATTTGGTAATATAACCGTATCACTTATTGTTTGGCATATATATATATATATATATATAACTACCCAAGATCAGACGGCCAGAAGAGATCAGCAACAGAGATTTTTGGGGCGAAGCAACCCAGCAGGAACCAATTGTGCGAGAAATATGCAGGAAGAAATGGAGGTCAATTGTCCATACTCTGAGAAAACAAATCATCAAGTGACAGCACACACCTGGTCATCACTCGAATGAAACCCGAATGGGAAGTGGCGAGTCGGTCGTCAGTGTGAGGGTGACATGGAGGAGGAGGTGATGTGAAGAGGAGATGAAAGCATATGGGCAGACGTGGAGCCAGTTGAAAACGTTGGCGGAGAACCGGACGCAATTAAGACGTGAGGGTGAAGCCCTATGTTCCTCTAGGAACTAAAGGAAACAATAATATAATAATGATAAGAAGAAGAAATCTTTGTTGACCAATTAGAAGAAAATCAAAACTTACTGACCATTTCTGAATATCCAAGATGAAACAAAAAGCATGACAACATTCTAATAACAAAGGAGCATATTTTCTTAATGTTTTCAATCAGTACACAACTCGATACTGGCGACCTACTTAAAACTTAGGCTACCAAAAGTCTATCACTATATTGCTTATGATTTTTCTTGTCCACTTAATCTATTGAAATATGACCTCTAATGGCATTATTTACTCTGACGAGTATTTTTTCAAAATATTTACAACTTGCTGGTTCTCTAGTTTCTACCAAACATGAGAAAAAGCATAATTATGGGTAGCAGCATATTCCAATACATGAGGTAAATGTTGCTCAGTTATGTCCATGGGTTTCAGAATGCACTCTTGAAATTTTTATAATTGACTTTCAACCAAATGTCAGGTATTTTGCGAAAAAGGGCGGAAAATAAGAAACATCATAATAGATTGGTTTGCGCTTCAGGTTAGACAGTATTGTGTCACTCGATCAATCCACTGTCAGTTAGTATTTTGTCTGAAGATCCTGAATGTAGAGAAAACTTCATGCAGTAAGCTTTGCTGAAAATTCTGTATGTTGTGTAAGCACTGTTCAGAATACTGCTATAATAATAATAATTATTATTATTAAGATAATATAATCAGGCTAATTTTCACAGAGGATTAAATTTTGTTTGTTTGGTTGAAGGATTTCATCATGAGCTGACAAAAGTTAGAGAAGCATTGGGAAATCTGCAGGGAATACTGGATACCTGTTTCGTTCTACTTTGGGACTCTTCAGCAGTACTCACACACAACCACGGTTAGAACCCAGGACCTTCTGGTTACAAGACTTGCGGGCTCGTAGACCATTAAGTCACTGAGACCCGATCAAGTGGCTAGTCCACGAATTCTAACTTCTACCAATTCATGGTTGCGTGCTGATGAAGAATCTCAGACTAGGACGAAACAGCTGTCCACTACACCCAGGTTTTCCAATGCTTCTCTAAGTGATGTCAGCTCATGATGAAATCCTCCAGCCAATCAAACAAAATCCCTACAAAACCAATGCTTGAAAATCAAATTATGTTTTATGCTGCGATATTGTTCAACAGCATGAGACAGCACGAAGAATAAAACTACTTTATCAATTCTCATAGAATTGTAAAACAATCCACAACTCAATGTAGAAAAACATGATTGGCTTACTATGCAGAAAACTGGGATGATAATTAACTATGAACTAAATATCAGTTATCCACATAACCATTGAAAACTAGGAAGCACCAGAGAAATTCTTTTTCCCATTCTTGAACTTTCGAGTAGTAGGCGGTCAAAGTACACCCAGGGGCTTATGAATTGAAAATATTACCAGCCACTGGATTAAAATTCATTGCCTCATAAATTCCAACTTCCATCGTTTCGCAGTATGACACCACAGAAATGGCCTTTGAGCATTTTATGCATATATTTACAAGTGTATTTTTCTTTATGCATTTTTTTTACTCCTACACTTTCCCAGAGGAACATAGGGCTTCAAGCTAGAGGCATGAAGATTCTGTAGCAGTGTTTATTTTTACAGGATGGGGTTGCTAGCCTCATGCCCAACCTTCCCTCTTTACCAGTTTTACTACTGGCTTAGCGTGGTAAAGGAGTGCGTTGGTCGGGGATCGAACTCCGGACCATGTGCATGGTTGGAGAGCGTCCTAACCATTGTGCCACCGACGCCCATAATAATCGATAATTTAATTAAAATCAAAATTATTGAATAACCTAACTGTTGCACATAACAATATGCATTCAAGTCATAAATGGAAAATAAATCACTAGGATACTGCACTTACCTCTGAACAGCAAATTCTTACTGGTAGAAAATCATGAATGTTATCTTGGGTTCGATCTCCAGCCGACGCACTCATATACCTCGCTTAGCCGGTAGTAAACCTAGTAAAGAAGGAAGGTTGGGCATGAAGGTAGCAGCCTCATCCCTTAAAAAACAAAAACACCACTGCTAGTGAAAGTTCAAAGCTTAGGCTTGAAGCCCTATATACTACTCGGAACAAAAGGGAATATAAAAAATAAGAAAAATTCTAATCTACTAACTAATACCAATCATTCAGTGATACTTGGTAATGTGTGAACCACCTAAAAGCTAGTCTGTTGTTCTGAATACTGTTGAATTATTGGCATTGATGCTCACTAGTGACTTGCTACAGGGAGGAATTTCCTGGAGATCAAGTAAAAAGTCGTGACCAGCGAGGTCCATCCAGTCACGTGTGAGGATGGAGTTCCCACTGATGACATCAGTTGGTGGTCGCGATAAATGCATCACTAATTGGTAGAAGTTAGAATTCACGGACCACTGCGTTCGGTACCAATGTCTGAATGGTATATGGGCTTGCCTTGTAACCGGAAGGCACTGGGTTCGAACCCCAATGGTGTGCGCGTAATACTGAAGAGTCCCGAACTATGATGAAACAGCTGTGCAGTACTCCCTGGTTTTCAATGGTTCTCTGACTGATATCAATCCGCGGTCAAACTCATATAAACAAGTTTACACATAGTAGGCGTTGTGATATCTGACACTATTTTTCAATACTCACGTAAGTTACTGATCTCGAAAGCATACTTACAAATAACAATAAATGGAACAGCTCAGAAGGAAAACAGCACTCCTTGTAAATGTCAAGAATGCTGAAACTATAGTATTTACTTCTGTAATACAATTTTAAGTCCTTCAACTAAATGGAAAAGAAATTCAGACAAATTCCGAAGTGAAGTTCATCACAGATTAACTCACGAATCAATGGACACTCTTTTACCCTAGTTTGTGAACCTTTAACGCCTAGAGCTCACTTCTTTACAGGGGATTAAAGAGTGTCCCTTTAAGTTGCGTATGATCAGGTAATTAATTAATGAAAAAGTTGGATTTTCATCAACCAAATTCTGACAAATCTAACGGCTGGAAACATGGTAGTGACTATGTGCTTTATTACCTCACAATCAGTATGCTTACACTTTATCACCGTAATTTGCAAAGTTTTGAACATTTCTTCACTGTTAAAGTCTTGAATTAATGGCGAAAGTAATTATCTTCCTCTACAACTCTATCTCTGCTATTTTTTTTTTTTAAGTGTTACTAGCCGTCGGTAACAAGCATGTTTAAGTTTATGTGAACTACGAGTTAAAACAAAAGCCTCTTCACATTCACTTTCAACTTTTCAAGCCATTTATTCTCTACATTAAGAATTAATCAAATTAGTGTTAAGTGGTATTAACACTTAACTTAATCAGTTATGAAAAAAAGTCATCTTTTTTCTTCACTTTAAACTAAGTCAATTTTCAATTTTTTTTCTCTTAATGCCTACTTATATCAGATATCAGGATATAGTTACTAGCATGAGTCTTAAATGTTGTTGTCCACCCCCCCCCCCAACCGCCACTCTGTTGACTACTTGACGAAAGTATCTTCTATTTTCTATGCTTTATCTTAATATTTCATCCCTTTTGCTATTTACTCATGATCTGAGTTCTCACTGTTATCACTTTTACTTGTTGAAATGTTAGATTAGTCTGTTACGTAACATAGTTGTGTCAATGTCACCAAATCAACCAATCATTGTGAGCAAAAAACATTTTGACTGTCTTATTCAATTACTGATTCATCCCTTAGGTTGTATGCACACTTACACACAGACATGAAATAAACTTATAATATGACGAATAGTTAGATAGGTAGATAGATAGATAGATAATGACATCTTGGTCTATTTTATCACCCTGATTTTCTCGTCATTAAATAAGTCTTAGCTGTCCTATCATCAGGAGGATCTGATTACCTTTTTAAAGAGACTAAAGACTAAAACGTTAATATTAATTTAAACAAAGGAAAATAATTTCTCTAATCTTATTCTAATCATAAATTCTTTGGTTATCATTTATCTAATCGTATCTATGTATTAAAATGAGTAAATCAGATGAAAATCAAATGAATTCGGAAATGAAAATACCGACGGATTATAATACTGTCAGTAATAATATTCATGAACCTGTGTTAGATTTATCGCATGGATCAAATACAAATGAACAGTGTTTTCAACATTTCAGCATTCAAGATTCACAAGTGTTTAACGAAGTGGGGAAATACAATACCACATATCCAAATAACATGTTAAACACTAATCATATTCCAGGAGAACAAATATCTCAAAGTCATTCACCGATGCATATGAACCACTGTTGTAGTGATAATATTTCATCAAATCATACTGGATATTATGTTCCAAATATACCAACTCCTGAACAGTTGTTAGCAAGGGATCAAGAGAAACAGTATGATCTAAACGGTAAGTATCTTTAGAACCGATGAGTGGCCTTACTTTTTGAATATATTTTTCTTCATAAAGCTGAGTAGGGAATATGTACTGTGGTTGATATTATTATGTCATCAAAAATTGTTCCAAAGATTTGTAAATCTTCAGAAGATAAGTACATGATTTCTTACCTGTATTCACAAGATACATGCTTATATTTAACCCGTAAAGTTTGCTGAAATCCTATAACATACTGCAGACGGATGTTTGTTCTTACCTGTTGAGTGTAGGTTCTCCGAGATGATATCCACTCTGAGTGGTTTTGACTTATCCGAATTTACTTGATTATTTATGTATAGTATTGTTATTCCTTCCTTGAGTTCATAGGGGAACATCGTCAACGCACCCGTCTGTTTATCACCTCCCATAGGATTTCATTTCCTCTCCACATTATTTCCTCCATGTCACCCTTGGACGGTCAACCCATCGTTTTCCACTTAGATTTTCGAGTGGAACCTGAGTGGCGGTCAATGTCATTTGGAGGTCTCCTCAGTGTATAATCAATCCGTCGCCATTTCTTTCTGACTATTAGTCAGATAATCGTTTCTCGTTTAGTTCTTTGCTAGAGTTCCTCATCGTTTTTCCCTCCTCGTGGACCATCTTATCTTTACCATCGATAAGGCGAAAGTAGCTATTAATGAAAGGCTGCGGTAGACTGTTCGAAGTGCTTTTGATGAGGGAGGTACTAAGTTTCTGAGTCATACTGAAGCAGTGATATAGCAGCAATGTTAGAAATTTGGATCCTACTTTAGAGTAATGAATGCCTGTTCCATCTTCCATTTCCTATCGGACTTTGACGTCGTCATTCATGCTGTCTGTCTGCAGTTGAGACGTTGCTGCCAAGGTCAGGTAAGTGAAAGAGACGAATTCCATTGGATTCCTCCCACCGTTGGTGATTTGTGTTTTTTGTTGGTGGGGAAGTATCTTCATTACATGTCTCCTCGATGTTCACCTGACGTCATGCCCCCTCTGCCTCTAATGCCAACTCGTTGGTTTTCGCCTGTAAATCTTTGAGTTTGTGAGAGACAAGACATAAATCACTTGAGGAATCAGCTTATTCATGTAGCTAAGGTACATCACCGAGTGATTTTTCATGATTTCATTTTTGAACTTCTTTCTCCTGAAAAAATAGGATAAATACAATACACGTTGAATTCGATGCATAGATTATAACTTATTCAACTGAAAACATCCTTAATTTGCTGAAAGGTCTCAAAAAGTCTCAGTCAACCAACCAGCAAGAAGTGGCACGATAAACTAAAACGTCTTATTTAAAATCCGCTTCTCACTAGAGGGCAACGAGAAGGGAAAGATACAGTGAAACAGAGATGTATTTAACAGCCAGATTCTGTTGATTCAGGATTCTGAACCTCTGAACTGAAGACACAGAGTGTAAACTGTTGGAAATCAACTGTGAAGTATCGCAGTCATTGTGCAAAGTTAGGGCCTTATGCTCTACCGTGTCCTAAAAAGTGAATTTCGGTTTTCACTGGTTCACACGTTGGTATCGATCTGTCATAAAGACTTTTCTAAGAATAATACATAACCCGAGAATTGGGCATTTGAAAAGTCTGTAATAAAGAGCTGACGAACATCTTGATACTGCTTCAGTATGCTAAATAAGCATTCCGTATGAGGGAATGACTTAACTACTGTTTTCAGCCATTTCTTGAAAAATCACTTGTTAGGTGTATGAGTTACTAATTAATGTATTTGTCTGACACACTGGTATTTGTATACAAGGGTTGAGTGAGAGTGTTACTTTGTGTTTAATTTGTTTTGTTGCATTATTATTATTATTTCACTCCTTTACGTTCCGAGTGGAACATAGAGCTTCCATTTAGGGCTTTGAAACCTGGTTAGCAGTGGTTTTATTTCTACAGGATGGGGTTTCTAGTCACATGCCAAACCTTCCGTCTTTATCGGTCTTACTACCAGCCTAGACAGGCTTTGGAGTGAATCATCTGGGAATCGAACCCTGGACCACTTGGGTGGCTGATGAGAATTCTACTGCGGAACTACCGACGCATTTTGTCACGTGCGCATGACGGAATAAGAGTTTCAAAGTTCGTTTAACTTGATACTCGTTGGAATTAAATCATCCCTAAGTTATTATTCTCTTTGATGGTAGAAATTCAAAGCTCGGTATGACTTTGTGACAGTTTACAAACATAGACTTCTGAATACTGAAAGGAAGTATAGAACTGCGCTACAGAGATTTTTACAGACAATTTGTGTAGAGTATTTTCTTATGTAATAATTTCTTTATCAGTCTACATGAGATGATTCAGAAAAGGACAGTAGTCATAAAACCTACCTGATTATGCAACACTTGAGATGCTGACTTATCCATTCCAATTTGCATTTATATTACAGGTCAAATAAACTTCCTAAATTTGTTTCGTCAGACATGGTATCTTTATCAGCAGTATTTGACACAGTCGAACAATTCATTTCAATCAGTTTATCCTTGCTGGACAGACGATTACCAGTACTTTGTAAATAACAGTCTGTCAGCAATTGCTTTTAATCAACCATCAAATGTATCAGCGCCGAATCAAAATGATACACAACGTCATATGGAAAGCACAATACCTTCCGACTGTTCTTCAATGCAGACATTATTCAACTCAATGTTTGAGACAATGAATAATCAAAAGAAAGTTACACCAGTTGAACAGTATTCTGAAAATCACGTTCATGATATTACAAACATTCAAAGTAATCTTGATGACTCTAAATCCCCTGAAGATAGACCCAGACAGTATCGTAAAGCAAGAGCCTATTTTCATCCTAAGCAAATGAGTTGTCTGGAATCATTCTTTCAAAAGAATCCTTATTTATCCACAAGAGATAGGGAATATTTATCAAGGAAGTTAAACCTTTCCGAAGATCGGGTAAGCAGACTGTTATTACACATTTAATTTTAAATGATTTTAAATTGTCCCATTAAAATGTGTTAAACAAATAAACTGTAGGAGTAATTTTCGTCAGAAAATATCACAGCTTTATGAACTTACGGAAACGCCGAGTCACAAAACGATCACTTGAGTCTCCTAAAAATAAACGTCTTGATATTCTGAGGTAGATCAGGACACCTTAGGAATATTTAATAAATGATGGGTAGAGTTGAAACTTAAACTTGCCTCGTTATCGATTTGTATTAGTGGTCTCCATGTTATCGCGATATTTTTAAAAATGTGTTAGGAAAAAACGTCACTGATCATATTTTAATTTTGCCTTATCGATCACTTTATCGCTGAACCACTGAAATTCTCTATTCTTATTTCAAATGAAATCACAAAATGGCTTCATTTTGAGAACCACTGGAATCCAGAGGGTACTGGCCAGCTGTTTCTTTCTAATTTTGGACTCTTCATCAGCACACAGCTATGACTCCGCCAAGAGTCGAGACCAGGACCTTCAGGTTACGAGGTCAGTCCTTTGAATATTCAGCCACTAGGATGAAATGAGACTGAGCATGAACTCTAGCTTCCACCAATTTACAATATTCTTAGTTAGAAGTGTTGCATAATTAACTAATTCCATAAATACGCGAAATACAGTTTATTGAAAAAAGGGATTTTCGCTTTCGCTATCGCAAGTTTGACAGAGTACCGTAGAAACCCATTGAGTTCCTTGACTGTCGAGGGGTCCTTGCAAATTTTTAATTCATGAAAAATTCCCATGCGAACATTAATAGACAGAAGACAAGTAGTTCAGCGAAGAATCTCTTTTCGGCGAATTCATTTTCATAGCTGTACAATCGCAAATACAGTTTAGTTAAATTTTCTATCACTAATGAAATCCAGGTTTTAAAAATATGATGGTAGTCCACATAGTTGTAGATTAAGCTACTGAATAAAATTCCATCCCTTCTATAACTACTCGCCGGTGTCAAGTTTCTGAAAAATTCCTCTATTCATTCTCTGATAATCTAAGAATATGTTGTATGTGTTTACTTTGCAAATGAATCATGTTTACAACCCAAAAATATCATTTTAAAATTTTCTCATTATGGAAAAGTAGTTTCGTGAAATCTAAATACATTTTGTCACAGAGTAAATTTATTTGATGAAATCACACTTTTCTTTTCTTTTTTTCCCTTCACGTTCCCCAGTGGAACATAGGGCTTCAAGCTAGTGGCTTGAAGTTTCTGTAGCAGTGTTTAATTTTTACAGGATGGGGTTGCTAGCCTCATGCCCAACCTTTCCTCTTCACCAGCGTTATTTCCGGCTTAGCGAGGTAAAGAAGTACGTTGGCCGGGGATCGAATCCCGGATACAGTATACTGAAATCACACAGTGATACAGTATTTTCAAGAGTTAATCTGTGGGGATCCGATTTATTTCAAGTTTTACCACGGGTTGATATCAGTTGGAGAACCAGTGAAAACCAACAGGGATTACTGGACAGCTGTTTGGGACTCATCATCAGTACGCATCCACTTAAAACAAATCAAATCCCTGTTGACTAACTCTTAACAATTAATTCAATGCTTGCTAATAACTGGCTACAGGACGAAGTTGTTTGGAGTTCTCGTGAGGAGTTGTGACCAATGGGGTTCACTATGTCAGGAGTGGGGACAAATACTCGCCAATGACATTCAATGGTGGTGGCGATAAAGTCACGAATTGGTAGAATTTAGAATTCATGGGCTGAAACCCCGGTGGGAGTGTACTGTCGATGAGTTCGAAACTAGGACGAAACAGCTGTCCAGTACTCCCTAGTGGTTTTGATGGTTCTCTAACTAATATCAACCCGTGATCAAGTTTGATGCAGTATTATTTAATGATGACGTTTTGTGCTCTATTTATTGCCCATAGTCAAATAAAGGCACTTACATAACTTCCAAACTTCGTTTGTATAATTCCATTATTCTTTAACCTTCGATATGGTTGGTAGTAATATTTTCCATATCTCTGGTATTAGTGATGAGTCATTCCTACTGCATGTGTTAGGTGTAGATTCTATGAACAAAGAATCAATAATCAACATCTCCCTTCAACTACCTATATTCCTTTTTGGAACTGCAGCTCTATCCAGTCCTATTATATGGTTGTGTGTTAATGCATGCATTGCAGTTGCTGAGGTTTTTCTTCAAATTACTCATCTTTGTGAAGTAACTTATTTTACACTTAGCTAAATTTTTATCTTCCGATAATATGACTACCGGCAACCCACTTGTCTGACTTATATAGCTGACCTCATCATCATTGCAAGGCATTTTGTAGATTACATTGTTTTCTCTAATTGCGTCAGTGGGGTCCTTTGGCCTACAGAGCTTATCCCTGAGCGAGTTTGTAGGTTCAAATGTCACCCTAACTCCTGCTTTATTAAGAATCTTACGTAGGGTTTCAGACGTCCTTCTCTTATATGGTTAACGGTAGATGTGTTGAATTCTTTCTTATTTCTGTTATGGCTAACAGTTCCACTACTAATTTGTTCCTCTTCTTGTGGGCATCTGTGATCTTCTTAATCAATTTTATGAGATAGTCATTTACCAACAATGCTTTCTGATTTAATACTTAGAGTTATTCGTGGGCTTGTTAAACACTAAATGAAGCCTGCTCGTAATGTGACTTTATTAAAAACATACTGTATGATGGAATTATACTCTAACACAGTCCTCAAGTTCTAGTCCCATAAATAATTTTTAATACTCAGTTGTTGTGGAACTATTTACGAATCTAAAACCTCATGAATTTCATGAAAATGCTAATGCTTATATTTGCTCACTATTTGAAGCCTTCTGGTCATAATTTTGAAAAAATTAGTGACAATCATTTTTCTGGAAATAAGTAAAATTTCGCTGGTTATTCGTCTAGATAAGAAGGAATACTGTACCCGAGTCTCAACTGAGAAACGAATATGTAGAGGAGTAGTCCATAAAACTTTGAAAGTAATAAATAGCATTTGTGAATGCACAAGGCATCAGCTTTTATTTATAATGCACGACCGATAACTTCTGCCTTGACGTAGTGGTCGGGCTTGCTTATCTCAATAACCCAACAAACTGCATTGCCGGGAACTGATGTTCCTGCAGGTCCTACAATGTCAGGAAGATTATTAGGATGGCGATTAGACTATGAGTAGTTACGGGCATAGCGTACGACCTTTTTTACTCTATGCCTAGGGTCTGTGGGCAAAGTCGAACTGCTGGGTAATAGGGATGTTACAGCAGCAAGGTGTTTCCCTCACATGACCAGCATGCCAGCCAGCTATGCTGTTTCTCCACTCTGGAATGAGTGGGTTAGAAAAAATTGACCTCCAAAAGTGTGCATCCCGACATATCCTACGGTGGTCCGTAGCCGGCTTTAAGTTACTAATACAGAACCAAACCTAAAAGCCAGTTCAAACAGGCGGTGTGGGACAAGCCGGCTCCAAGCAGTTGTCCACTGGGCTCTGCGGCCAGGCAACACTAATTCTCTTTCAGTTTCAGGTACTTCAATAAAAAATCAACTTCCACGTGTGGACAGCCGGGGAGTAAAAACCGCCCGCACACTTCCGAGATCACACGAAGCCATCATGATCATCATTCTCTTTTATCCAGTCAGTCGGTAGCACAGTGGTTAGGACTCCCGCCGACCATGCACATGGTCCGGGGTTCGATCACCTGCCGACGCACACCTGATACCTATGGTCGGCCTGTAAAATTTGGGCTACCGATATCCATGCTGAAAATTCCATACTTCTACCAAAAGTACTGTGTGGAATCAAGCTGTAAACAAAAATAAAAATAAAGTCAGTCAGTCAATACAGTTTTACATAGTTCAGTATAGTGTAGGTTGACTTTATCTCAGTATTCATTGTGGAAGTTTTGGATGAAGTCAAAATGCGTATTTTAACTTAAGCAGATACATATATGTAGGGATAGTTTCTCAATAGACGATTATTTATAAAACTAATAAATATTTGCTTTATTATTTAACTTACAGATTAGAACATGGTTTCAAAATAGACGCATGAGAGAAAAACGCAAACCTGGTACACAATGTGATTCTGATAATTCTTCAGTGAATTCATGTGTAAAAGTGGATTATTCATAATTATTTCTACCTTAGTCATAATAACATTCAGAATGTATATATTATTTCATTTCACCTCATTTATCTGTACATGATGTATATAATTTAACAAATAAATTTATTATTTTAGTTTTGTTGCATTTTCTCACAGAGCATTCTTATTTTGAAGTATTGGTTGGTAGGGATTTGATTGACTGGTTACAAACCAATACCTGAAAATCAATGAGATGCTCACTAGAGATTGGCCCTATTCAGGTAGGTGTTTACCTGGGGTTCTAATGGGAAGTAGTGACCAGTAGGGTGCAGCAGGTCGGTTGTGAGGACAAATATTCGCCACCAGTGACATTGTCTAGTGGTCGTGCTATGTCGTGAGTTGGCTGGCAGAAGTTGGAATCCATGACCTGGCCATCGGATTGGGCTCCAGTGGCTCAATAGTTTACGAGCTCGCTAGCCTGGTAACCAGAAGGTCCTGGGTTCGAACCCCGTGGTGGATGCCTACTGTCGAAGAGTCCGAAGATAGTACTCTAACCGATGTCAGCGCATGATGAAATCCTGTAGCCAATACACATATTTATTTACTCATAAATCAAATGTTATGTTCTGTGGCAGACTATTACTAATTCTATTCTTTTGAATAGAATCACACTACAGTTTTGTTCACCTAGTTATATTCGTTATTCCCGTTCGTAGCTTCACTTATTAAGGAAAGGTAATACTTTACCATTATTACCAGAAGAATTCTGAGGTAGAATTCAATCCAGTTTCGAAGTGGTCGTCAGAATGCATGTATATTACAGTGAAATCATAACTAACTACATTTCACTAATCTGATGAAATAACATATCTTAAAGGAACTACTATACGTCGTTGAGAAATCTAACTGTAATATACTAAAAATGTACTGAGTATTTGAGTTATATATCTCTAGATTTCTTTTATATTGCTTTTTTTTTACTAATTCTATTATACTTGAAATAACGTAAAATACTGAGTGACATTCGAAGTGTATAATTCAGTTATAATAAACTGATATTTATTTGGAGAAGCACCCTAGTTAAGTGAAATACTGTACACACCTGGCTCCTTGATAAATTTCGATGAAGAGAGACTAAATTCACAGTAGAAAATGATATCATTCCATCCGACAGGTTCTCCTCATCAGCTGCAAGCAACCCGAAATTACAATAATTATAAAAATGACAATAACTTACTCCATTGTTTGAATAATAGAAGGGAAAATACTATAAAGTGAATGCTGCAAATACGGGAGATTTGTAGCTCAGGTTGACGATTTTGATTTGGTTGTGTTCGCTGAGCTGGTTGATTTAATAGCAGAGCCTTCTTTGTCCTTCTACACAACGTCTTCAGTGCAGGCTGCAATACAAAGTGAATTTGTTCGAATCCTTCCTCCATCAATGATATAAGGACAATGAAGACACTGCAGTTAAATCAACCAGTTCAGAGTACATAACGAAATAAAAATTATCAACCTGAGCTACAAATCTCCTCTGTTTAGCATTGATTTTATAATATTTTCCTTACTACCATTCAAACATTTAGGTATGTTACTGTCATTCTTGTAACCATTGAAGTTTCAGGCGGCTCGCAGATGATGAGGAGAACCTATGAAATGAAATTGTGGTGAGAGCTGGCTGCTAGCCAGAGTTGGTAGATAGTAATTGACGTCAATGTTTATGTTACCAATATTGGTGGTGAGAAAGTGAGAACAAAGACTGCGTAGGTGGATACAGTTAGCATATGGATGATCTGACACAGCCACAAGAGATGCAAGGTTAACTTTCTGTGAGAAACAACCAATCAAAAGACTGTATTTTCTACTAACAATAATCTACAATAATGTACATTAAAGTCTATAAATATGTGTTGATTTTCCTTAATAAACGATCTGTTGCCTGACCCTTGTCTTCTATTGTTACAAAATGGTTTCATTTTCCACTGGGTATTTGGTCTCTCCTTTTTAAGAGAAATGTGTTACTGCTATACATTAGTCACCATATAGCTGAGAATAACTATCGAACCGATCTAATCATCTGTGTATCCGAAAATAGCTTCTTTAAATGTTTAGGTTAGTTAAGAAATGGCTGATTTTCACGCTGAGGGGATGCTGATAAGTAGTGAAAACTGCTTATTGAAATTCTTTTGCGTTGATTTTTACGTATGTAAATACCGACGACACAGTCACTAGATCAAGCTTACTCAGGGGCGGACAACAAGGCTCATAAGCTAATTATGGCTGAAAGTCCGCCACATAAAATTGCATAAGTTTACTGAAATACTTGTTCTTTCAGCCGAATAATTTCACACACTTCGTGATTTTTACCAATATACGCCGCTGTAGTGATCATGTCCTCGTTAGAACAAAAATATTTAATTTTCGTGAGATCTGAGGGCGTACATCAGCATCAGCCTATCGAAGGTAGAGTTTCCCCTTCTACGAGTCCCCTCACATTCCATCTAAACGTATGTGACCACAGAAGAAAGCAGATATGAATCTCTGAACCCTTGATTTATCCGACTTTACCTCACAGAAATTTACTGCGACTAATGATTACAGCCAGGTGTTTAGATATTATACTCTTATAATAGACGCTTTGACAAACAGTGTTGTGTAATTTAACATGTCTAGAACACATCAAGTGATAGAGAAAATTGAAGACACTTTAGCAAAAAAACCCGATTTTAAATCATCTTTCTGAAATTGATCTGATGTAGTCAGTAAATTTGATTTAAACGAAAACAGCAAAAATCTCATGTTTTCCAGAAGGATTAATGGCAAGAAAAAACAAGAAACACTAATAGTGAGCACTTTTCAGATGACTTACCCTATGTTACCTAACCAGCAGCTACTTACTGTTCATCTATTCCAAATTCGTTAAAACATCATATAATGTGTACACCAGTTAGAGTTTGACAACATCTGTACATTAGTCATAAGGTTAAATGTCATGTAGACAGCAATTAGAGATAATTATTACATAGGATATCGAAATTAAATGGTGATTTATAGACTGTTTGATCATGCAAAGATATCATTAAGTTTATAGTAGAAGTTAACGCAAATAAAGAGAAAGAGAATGTGAGATTTATTTATTTATTTATTTAAGAGTTAATTGTTACTAAATAACTAACTGTTACACTAATATCCTTGCTGTCAGTACAAAAACAATTCCGTAATAGATTATGCAGCATGCGTACTCATTTAAGTGAATCTACCCTGCATTGTTTTACATGTGTAATACTAACTCTTCTGATGTGAATGACATTGATCTAGGTTCTGAATTCATCCATATAAATCGGAAGAATATACAACAAGTTCCAACAGAACAATCTTTGTTAATCGGTGAGAATAGCTCTTTAATTAGGACCACTTCCGTGGCACTAAACGCTGTGAATGTGAAATAATTAGTTGGGGGTTCCGTAAGAGATAGTCTTTGATATAATAATTGAATGTTGATACTTCCTCCATAGAATGTTTTTACTTGATAGAAACAGACAATGATAAAATATTATTTACTAATGACGTTATGAGTACACTTTATTGCTTATAATCATATCAAAGCGAGACTTGATTTTGAATAAAGCAATAACAACAGTGGTTTGTGCAGAATAATATGGTACCATCATTGTTTATTTCGTTGACTTCTCATAGGCTACTGCTTACAGCCTAAATAAATTATTAAGTTTATGGACAGAAAAGTTTTAACATACTTGCAAATTTTTCATGGTGTCAGTTGACAGAAGGTTCCGTAATTAATGAACAGTGCTCAGAAAATTGCGCTTATATAGTTTTTACACAGGAAGTTCAAGTTTAAACAAAATAGATGTTTGCATACAATGGTAAAGGAGTTACTTAATAAAGACGAGAGATGCATAAGATTCTGAGTGACTAATAAATTAGGTAGCAATGTACTTGGTTCAACTCAAATCATCGAAACAAGAGACAAGCAAAATTACAAATTATGAAATGAGCTCAGTATATTGTAACCTAATTTATTAGTCACTCAGAATCTTATGCATCTCTCGTCTTTATTAAGTAACTCCTTTACCATTGTATGCATACATTTATTTTGTTTATACTTGAACTCCCTGTGTAAAAACTATATAAGCACAATTTTTTATGCGTTGTTCATTAATTACGGAACCTTCTGTCAACTAAAATCATTTAGAAAACAGAAAGATTGAGCGAAGAAATATTTACTTTTCAATTAGATCCTCATCTCTGGCTCTACTCTAATATATATCCATAGCATTTGCATTACAATGCACAACAGTTTACCAAACAAGTGGCGATATGTTTGTTAACAATAATTAGTCAGTGTCAGAATGTCAATGAGTTGATAATTAACGAAGAAAATCAATACACACTTAAAAGGTAGAAATGATTAGAATAAATTAATTTTACAAGGATAACACGTAATTAAAGATGAAGTGGTCAAAATAAATAAAAATAAAATAATTTGGACAATTATGATTTTTAAAGGTTTAGGCGGAGGGGGGCGACGTAGTCCTGTTTATGCATTCTTGTAACGATGGCCACGGTAAGGAAAGTGGCTGTACAAATTTCTTGTGAACACATAGGCTTGGCTTCTTCAGGTGGATTCCGATTGCTTCAGATGTCTGTAGAAGACGAACTCGTAAAGCAAAATCAAGGTTAGTCGGAATGTGATAGATAATTTTAAATGCAGTATTAACATCAACCTTATGCTCACTATCTACAAGGTGTGCTAAAATAGAACAACGAATAGATCTTGTTTGCCCCTTGCTTAACCATGTTGGATGATGTTCGAAAATACGACGATGAACCTGCCTAATTGTACGCTCAATGTAGTTGGCTCCGCAGCTGCAGTCAAACTGGTAGACACACATAGAAGAGGCAAAATTAGGTAGTTTATCCTTATTTCTCGAACATAGAATAGGGGCGGCTGTGAAGAGACAACGTACCTCTGCTGCATAAAAACTCTTTTAACTGCATTCTTCATGCGCTGTGTTACTATTTCACT